CATAAAATGCAAATAACTATTCAAAGTGAAAATGTGTCTTTCAGGAAATTGTTCAGTTTGCATCTCAGTTCCCTCTAATTTCTCAATCTCTTTTCTTCCTACCTGTCTGACCATAACATACAGCTTCTAGTCTGTCTTGGCACAAAATCCTATTCAAGAAGATTACATGCACTGACCCAGTCTCCAATTCACATCCAAGATCCCTAAACTTGCCCTTAATACTGTTTAATTTCTATTTTGTTGGTTCCGTGAATCCCCTGTTACGTCTCTTAACTATCTCTTACCACAGTCCAGCATTTCATCTCCATAAAACTCTTTCATGTATTTAACAAAATAATGGTGTAGACTCAAATTGTTATATATACGTAGGAAGGGAGCAGGAGAGCGGCCAGAGGGGACACACACACACACTCCCCCTACCTGAACAAAACCAGAACAAATGAAAAACAGCCAAACCACAGCTTGGGTTGCAAGACTCACTGAAAGCACATTGTTAAAAAATAATAGACCAAATCAAACCCTAGTGACCCTATGATATCTATAGTAACAGCAACGCAAAAGAATACCGCTTTTGACTTTCAGAACACAGATTCAGTTTACAAGTGCTTACTCAGAATAAGTGTGCAGTTTATTAAGCATATTTGAATCTTTCAGTTGGACCAAATGTGTTTTAACAGTGTGCTGCAAATAATCATCTATTTTGTTTTCACCAACTATATTTATGCTATACCACATCTAAAGGCATTTTCTCATTAAAGTGTTAATAAAATTTGTCTAACATAAAAGCCTTTACACAGCTTTATAGAATCATAGAAAAGTTCGGGTTGGAAGGGGCCTTTAAAGGTCATCTAGTCCAAGCCCCCTTCAATGAGCCTTGCTTAACTAAAAATGAACCTTCTTAAATCATTGCTTTTAGATACAACACTTAACGAGAAACTTAATAGTTGAATCAACTACTTGTCATAAACAAAGTTTTCACCTCCTTTTTTTCTCATGAGTACCTTTAAAACTTGCAGAAGCAGCACAGCATCTTTACTGTGGTTAAATGCATGCTAATTAACATCTAGCTTTAGGTATATCCAGATACAAATTACTCTGAATTTAAGGAAGGAAAATTCTACCTTTCAGAACTTCTGCATAGAATCATAGAATAGTTTGGGTTGGAAGGCACCTCTAAAGGTCATCTAGTCCAACCCCCCTGCTGTGGGCAGGGACATCTTCAACTAGATCAGGTTGCTCAGAGCCCCCTCCAACCTGACCTGGAATGCTTCCAGGGATGGGGCAGCCACCACCTCTCTGGGCAACCTGTGCCAGTGCTTCACCACCCTCAGCGTAAAAAATTCCTTCCTTCTATCTAGTCTAAATCTACCTCCCTTTAGTTTAAAGCCATTCCCCCTTGTCCTGTCGCAACAGGCCCTGCTAAAAAGTTTGCCGCCATCTTTCTTATAAGCCCCCTTTTAAGTACTGATAGGCTGCAAGGTGGTCTCCCCAAAGCCTTCTCTTCTCTAGGCTGAACAACCCCAACTCTCTCAGCCTTTCTTCATAGGAGAGGTGTTCCATCCCCCTGATCATT